CTTACAGTCGCAATCGGTCAAGATTATTTGTGAGAAGTAGCAAGCACGCTCGACAATAAAGAGGCAAATTAATTATCATCAATAACCACATCATATGGTCCGACCCCTTTCCGAGTTCGGTGTTCACCGGGTAATAATCCACTAATACACTAGTACTGGAACCTTCACAAAACTCGTAGGGCTTGGCCTCAGAATTCAAAGTCACTAGTGGCAGCAAACAGGTCATCAGGTAAATTACTTGAGGGAAAGAAGTTCTCGCAAAATTGTGCGGCCTTAGAGGGGGTCGCGCCACAGACAGCAGCGAATTAAGTTGGTGCCGAGCAATTTAAATTTAGTAACCAGTAACAGTCTGAAGCTCGGCACCCTCAAGGAAAACTGGACCAGGAGACGTAAGCCTAGTCTTCACATGAAGAGTGTTACTTTAACCTAATCCGGGTTAAGTGATGAGCAAAACTTTGTGCCAAACATCCGCCATGTATCAGTTGAGTCCATTGCTCAAATCAATTCACTGGCCAGCTCAGACGGCGGCTGAGGCCCGGAAATGGGAGTAGAGAGTGAGGTCGATGGCTCGGCACATTTTATTCTAACTGTGGGCTAAAAACCATGGCCTGGAGGGTTGACAACTGACGGGCTAACTCGCAATGCGTGGCCATTTTGGTGTATGCCGACCATGGCTCACGCAACTGCAGCCCCTATGACAATTTTGGCCTAATCAAACGCGAAGGAGCGGCCGGGTCCCATCGCATGAGACGTGACCTGCAAATTAACCCCCTTCCTCCTCACTGCTGCCACAGGCTCGTCCTCCTCGTCTGCCTTTGGGCCCCAAACGGAAGTTTTCGGGAAGGTGACATATACGACGCAAGTACTGAACCGACGAATATGACTGTCCGAGTGGGGAAGTGCCGTCGTGACTTGTCACGTGCATTTAATTATTAGTATATTGCACTTCATATGCATATATCACACAAGCAACTGTACACTCACTGTCTTCCGAAAGCAAGCGCATACATGTAAGTAAATATGTAAGCTCAATAGCAAAGTCTATAAGTCTACTCCTCAGTTCCTTCCGCACGTAGCTCCTATGCTACATATTTGATACGAACCTGAGTCTATCTCGGTTTACCGTGGCTGAGAAGGCAGCCGATCGACGTATTTACCAGAAGAATCATCAGCACAGCATGTCTTGTGGGTTTACTAACTAATGAGCGGACTGGGAGTCAGACGGTAACGGCTCTTTCTAAGACCATGGTGTGTAAATTCCGGTGTATGTGTCAAGGCGGCCATGTAATGCTGTGGAGTACGCAGACGGGTTCGCCGACCCTGTCAACCTCTGCACCCACACCACATCAGACAACGAACAGGATTGGACGATGGCTTGTGCTTGGTGGTGGGACAAGAGTGAGGTGTCGCCGGCTCAGCGCATTTTCCTCACTATAAACAATCTGACGCGCACGGGGCC